GATATATTTAAGCACAATGGATATATTTCAGCACAATGGATATATTTCTTTATTTCAGCACAATTGATATATTTCTATATTTCAGCACAATGGATATATTTCAGCACAATGGATATATTTCTATATTTCAGCACAATGGATATATTTCAGCACAATGGATATACTTCTATATTTCATTCAAACTTCACAGGAATGTTCCTTCGGTGGTCACCTTTAAACATTGTCCAAAGAATTTAATTCCATTCAGAACTCTGGTTCGAATTTGCCCCTTCCTGGTGACTCATTGATTTTCTTTATATTTATATATTTAAACTTAAAAAAATATTTTAAAAAACCCAAAGGAGCTAGAGCTTAGATATTAAGCATGAAACATATTATAGTGAGTGTCTACCTAGTTTGTTCAAATCAAAGCCCTGGAGTTAAAATTGGCCCCGCCTCAAGGGGTTCATTGATTTTTTTATATGTATATGTACATATCTTTTGAAACTGTTGTTTTCCCTTAGCAAAAGGCAACCAGTAATGTTTTTACACATGCACTATTTCAGATACAATTATAAACTTTGTGATATCAGATTTAGATTTAAATTCTATATCTGCTTTTGTTTATAGTTTACAATATTACTTGTTCCTTGTCATGGAGAATTTTTATATCAGGTGAGCGATTTCAGGGCCACAATAATAATGGCCCTCTTAAATGGATTGTCTTCGTACTTGGACACAACAACCATTTGGACAAGACCTTCAAGAAGAACAGTTTGAACTTGACATTGACTCATAAAATTATGGACAAAACTTTTGTTTTTTTTTCTGATTTTTAGCTCACCTAAGCTGGTTTGATTGTGATGACCTAATCATGTATTCATAATAGAAAAAAAACCTAACAACAACAACAACAAAATTACACTTTTTGCAAAATTGATATGTTAATTTATTCTAGTTTGACTCGCACTTTGAAGTGTCCATGACCTTGATTGTTTTCTTTTACAGATACACCAGGGATGAAACGTGTGTATGATGACATTATTCAATACACAATACAATCAAATATAAAGAAACACAAAGTACTGTGATCACTTGAAAAGTAAAAGTGATTCAATTAATCAACCAAAATACACTGGGAACCAAAGTATACTGGGAACCAAAGAACACTGGGAACCAAAGTACACTGGGAACCAAAGTACATTTGAAACCATAGGCCACTTGGAACCAAAGGGCACTGGGAACCAAAGTACACTGAGAACCAAAGGACACAGGAAACCAAAGGACACAGGGAACCAAAGGACACTGGGAACCAAAGGACACTGGGAACCAAAGTACAACGGTAACCAAAGTACACTGGGAACCAAAGGACACTGTGAAACAATGTACACTCGGAACTAAGGACACTGGGAATCAAAGTACACAGGGAACCAAAGTACACAGGGAACCAAAGTACCCTGGGAACCAAAGTACACAGGGAACCAAAGTACACTGGGAACCAAAGGACACTGGGATCAAAAGTACACTGGGAACAACCAAAGAACACTGGGAACCAAAGAACACTGGGAACAAAAGGACACTGGGAACCAAAGAACACTTGGAACCAAAGAACACTGGGAACCAAAGTACACTGGGAACCAAAGTATGCTGGGTAGATTCTCGTCTGCTTAAAGACAGTATAGGTTTACTGCTATTGCTTGGTACCTTACAAGAAACTGATTTAGCAACTGAGTGTCTAGTATTGGTACGTCTTGTATTGGTACCTGACAAGAATCTTTTTAAGCTAAATAGGGTGTCTAGTATGATACAAAGGTGTTTACCAAAGAATATTTTGATAGCCCTTTAGAATACATTGTGTGAAAGATTTGTGTTGTTCCATTTTGTTTTGTTGGCATATGTGTAGCGATCATTTAAAGACAATTCTGGGAGGTGTAATTTGTTTTCCAAAAGGGACTGTGAATCTTTTAATTAAAAATTAAAATGAACAAATTAATGCAAAATAAAAAGGCAACTGTCCGTCTGTACTTTTCGAGAAACCTGCCTCATTTTGTTACTTTTATGTTTCTTAGGAACTGAAACCAGTCAAAAAGTTTTGTATTTTCATAATTAAAGATCTATAATGCTCAAGTTTGATTCTTTAAATTACTGACACTATAAAATACATATCTTTTGAGCACACACAGAACATTATGTTATATTTTCCACTAAACAGACTTAAGATAACCACAGTATGGATAGTGAATAGTGTCATTTAAAAAACTGACATTTCTTTAAAGGGACTCCACTTAGTTTTTTTGACATGAAGGGGCCGAACAATTTTTTTCAGGAATTTGTATTGCTGTATGAAGGTCTGGGCCGATAAGTTTGTGTGCAAATTTCAGATCATTTGTGTCCGCTTGCCTGGTACATTTTTTTGTACAATCAATTTTATTGCGTAAATTGACCCCAAAATGAAAAGCGTTGCAAGCTTTTTACTCAACCGGACGAAAAACGCATAAAAAACCGGTTATTTATTTAGTGCAGAGTATATTATCTATTGCATAGTTTTCCATTTTAAGTGCACTAAATGATTGATGAAATATTTTCAAATTTTATTATTTTGGCTATAAGACCTCAATGGAGTTACTTTAAAGAAAGTTCCAAATCAACTTGCCCAGTAAAACTTTGTGCAGCTTCCCAAACATAGTTTGTGCATTCTTTTACGCAAATTCAATATATTCAGTAAAAAAAAAATTATTAAAACTCCAATCCATGTTGGGCTTTTGTTAGCACTAAAAGTATTAAACCTTAAGATGAGATTTAAGTAAATGATTTACTATTCAACTATTCTTTATATTTATTTTGTTTGCTTTTACATGTTCGTATTTCCTTAACCCATTACTTCATATACACGCCTTTTAACGCCTTTTCTACCCCCCCCCCTCCCCCTTTGTTGTCTCAAATGGTGAAAAAATGCCTTATTTAGGCCCCCAACACTTGTTTTTGTTTGAGAAATGTTGTTAAAAAAGTGACCACTTTTTCGGCGCGGCCCCCAACCAAAAGATACATCAGGGGGTTGCCAGAAGGGGGATGTGCCCACTTCTGTTTGGGGGGTTTGAAGGGTGGCGGAGTCCCCCTTATCGCCAAGAAAATTTTGGACTTGTGAGAGGCTATAAATGACCTCAGATTGATCACAAGGTAACGTGTAACCAACGCTGAAAAGCATTTGACTGTATCTCAATCCATTGAGAAGTTGCAACACTTTGAAATCAATTATGATGGAAAAAATCAACACAAAATAGTGATTTTTGGCAATTTTGAGATGTCCCCTCGTTGCCATGGTAACAGAAAATTTAAGCCTGAGCATGTTGTTGCAAGGGCGATGGTCCAGTCAACATTTGTGCCAAGTTTGATTAGTGTTAAAGCAGTTTTTATAGTATTATAGCAATTTGAACTTGTAACGGGAGACTTTTCAATGAAAACAGCCATTTTTCACAAAATGCTCATGAAGTAATGGGTTAATGAAAAAAAATAAAAAAATCTACAAAACAACAATTTTTCTTCAAATTTATATGACAGGCCATGTTTAAACATGGAAAAACGCGATTTAGGGTAATTTCAAGTATTTTCATCATTTTCTGTTTATCGGGAGTTTTAATGTCCTGCCTTATAAAATAATATGTCCACATGGAAGTACACCTTCATTTGCAATGACAAATAAAGTTTTAAAGCTGCATTAAATAAATAAGTAAAGATATATTACCGTTGGCCTAAAACCAAACATTCTGCAGTTTCATTAACCTTTTTAACAGCATTGTTGTAAATCTCATTAAATATTGTTCATAAATTAGGATTTTAAATGGAAAACCCCATGGTAACACTTAAGCTCATATACAAATTTTAACATGCAAATGAAGACTATATATAATCAGCTCGTGTATGCACTACGTCATAGTGTTAAAGTTGCTATCCGGAACTTGTGCAAAAACTGTTAACCGTTTCAGCTTCACGGTACATTAAGCCTGGCGTTCAGAAAAAAAGTGATCAACTCATAAAAAAGATTAAATTTGAAGACAACATCCGTTACAATGCAGAAATATACCGTTAAATTAGGACAACTACATTTACTTATATCCATATTTGTATATTGATGTACGAATGATCCGAAGGCGGAGTTTCTCATGCAAACAGAAATTTTACTTCCGATTTCGCTACAATGAAGTTGCAAATTTTTATGATTATAAAACTCATTTTGGTTGTCTGGACACCAAAGTAGGATCTGGAGTCGATGATAAACCCAATTTATTAATGAAATGTCGCTATTTCTGTTTTTTATAAAATTAATTAAACGCAGCTTGAACATACCTTATACTGTACATGTATTCTTAGAAATCATCATGATTTATGAAAACATAATAACTAAGTTTTACATTATAAAATATTAACAGACTGACAATGCATTGCTAATGACAGGTCCTTTAACTCAAATTTTTTTATGGTTTTATATTATAAATACGATGCTCAAATGATGATTTATCAATACTGTACGTTCAAAAAAAAAAACAAAAAAAAAAAAACAACAACATTATTTGTAAAGATATTACCGAATTAACATTTCATTTTATTACATTCAAGAAATTTTGAATTTTAAAACATCCCAGAGTAAAAATTGCGTGTGCCCTAATCGAGAAAATAATGGGCAAAACTATATAAGATGGAATGTTGAAAAGGGATCAGAGGTTAAGAAGCCTGCATATCACAGATAACCCAAAAGACAAATTTAAGAAGCATGTCCATATCCTAAGGGTGACTAAACATTATTCTAGTGAGGAATACTGGGACCATCCAACTTGAAATAGTCGAATAGAAACAACTAATAGAACACCACAAGCATGCAACAATAGTTTCGTGCTACACGATCAGTAAGGATCGGAAGTGTAACACCCTTGATTGAATGTACGGGGCAACTTTTTACGGCCTCCACACGGCACAAACAACGCTGATTTGGCGACAAAATAGAGAGAAAACAACAAAATATAAAATAATGCTTGTACAGTATTTTATTTAGAGTTTTTGTTACATTCCGGTCAGTTTATTGGATATGAGAGAAGTTTCCGTAATTATTTTCGAGAAAACTTTCCCTGATACACGGGGCAACACAAATTAAACGTGCACTTGAAATGGTTTCCACATTCTGTGTCATCATTACAATGCAGATAATCACCGTTTGTCGTCCTTTTAGGATCGAGAAATCTGCCGCTTACACTTAAACATTCTGGCCCTGAAAATAAAGTAAGTAACTTGTTAAAAGTAACCTGAAATATTGAATTATAAGAACTAAATTTCTGCATGGAAAAAATAATACAACTTAAGGATTGGTATGACAATAAACCCGACACAAATATTTTCTATTATTTCTGCAGATGTATGTATAACTGATTAGATGGGCAAATGTATGTCTAAAGTATATATAAGCTGCAATGAGTCTTCTGTTCTTGATTACACAAACGCTTAAACGATAATAGCGCTGAATTTTCGCCTGTTCGCGTGCGACCTCGACTCCATGCGACTCAAAATGATATAAGAATAACAAAAAAAATGTTTAGACCCTAGCAAGAAGTGTATTGCTGTTATGCGTCCACATGTAGCATACATTAAAACGTGGTGGTAACCTCTTTTTCTGGGTTACTTGAAATTATGTTATGAGCTCTAGCCGCAATACGTTGATATGATAATATGTTGTATATGAAAATGAGTAATTGAAACGCGTATTACTTACTTTTGCAGACGAATTTTGTGTCAACCGAGCACACCCTTATTTTACTAGGATTAAGTTCGGTGATTTTATTCAGGTTCGGGCATACACATCTACCACCATCTCCACAAGGCTGAAGGTAAAATAAAAATAAGATTTATTAATACCAACATTTACCTTACATTTCCGACAATTTACCGTCAAACGTTTCTAAAATCGTCCAATATCGTAGCAAATCGGTCATTTCCGGAACGTGTTTTTGTTTTGAAATATTGGGCATTAAATTATTTGCTCACTCATCCTTAACGCTTTTTACTAAATTCCGATTATAAACGGTTAAAAATTATTGAATAAGTGAAAAATAATCTTCCGAAAATGACCGATGTATTTCGATATTGGCCGATGTTAGAAACTTTTGGCGGGAAAGCATTACAGTAATACTTCTTTAAATCAATACAATTCCTACATTTCTGATATCCTAGTGTTCTCGAAAAATGAAACATATACAGTATACTTAAATCAACTACTATTAGAAACATAATTTCATGTAAGACCTAAAACAAAATATGCTAAAAGAACCTTTAGAAATAAAGCAAGTATGAAAAGATTTGCATTTATGTATCAAAAATCTTCGTCTCCGACAAAATTTGTTCTAAGAGAAATATGAAAAAAATATTTTCTTCATAAAGAATTTTAAAAAATCGGATGAATTCATATGTCTGTCGATTTAAATGTTTGTAGTTTTTATTTTTATATGTGTGTACATATTTGTGGATTTCTTCATTTTGCTAAATTGAAGGCCATATTGTAAATAAGATATGTATACCTTTATTTGTTACCTTATTATTATTATTTTCATTATTATTATTTTTATTTTATTATTATCATTATTATTATTATTAAATGATCATCTAGAATACGATTTTCAACGAAAAAACAAAAATTAGTCTGATAGGGTTTACGGATAGTTTGTTTGACAGGGTATAAAATGTTATAAAAAGAGATCCTATTCTTTGCCAATTTAATTTATAGGGTCAATATATTACCAATTTACTAGAATTCAATCACTCATTAATGTACATGTATGTTTGTTATTGATCAACATAGAAATACTGAGCAATTACTCCTAGTTGCTACAATATCGAAATAAAGGCTACATCATACAACCAGCATTCATACAACCATCTTAAGACACGCGTGCTTGAGAAATCTTGAGAAAAAAAGCCATAATGAATCGAATGCCAACTTACTTGAAAGAACGATTTGCCCACGCATTGATCTGTGTTTGCTGTCACGGTTGGGATAATCGTCTGAAATTTCAACATACCATTCGTCAAAATGTAAACGTACAATCAAATATGACGAAATTATTTTTTGTAAAGTTGAATTAATAATTAAAAAAACCCAACAAGAACAACAAAACATTCAAATATACTTCGAAACACGAGACTATTTCAAATTGAAGTTATAGAAGGAGCATAAATCATATTGCCGAGTGTTGTGATGTTTGCTCTCTTTTGAATTATAGACACAATTATTAAACCCAAAAAAGTAACCAATGTACGAACATCTGAATATGATTTTTTGTCGATATATCTTTTCCTGTCATCGCAATAAGTAAACCCATGAAACAATTAGCCAATCAACGAGCATGCTCTATAGTCAGACAGTGAGTGCGAGTAACTAAAACCTGCACCTCAGTTAACGGACAGTGCATGTTTAGGTATACGTTTTAACTCTTACACGTTTTCAATGGTAAAGTGTCTCCACCCTATGATGCAACCAATTATTTGTAACATAGTTTGTGGACCTTTCTGTTGAAAATGTGTCAAAGTTAAATTACATTATACATACACATGCACAGTGCGTTAACTGGAGTGCAGGTGTAAGAGCACGCCCATTGGCTCATTTTTGCTGGGGTTTACATAACGTGACAACAGAGAAAGTGAAAGCGACAGAAATATCATATTCAGATGCTCGTTCACTGGTTACCTTTTTTTCTTGGGTTTCGTATTGTGACAACAGAGAACGTGTTTTTATATCTGACTATGATAAAAAAGAGAAAGAACATCAAAACACTCGGCAATGTGATTAATACCCAGGGGTACGCCCCTCTCCTACAGATCGGATAGCCTCGTTCTATTACGTAACTAGTTAACTTGTCAATCCACTTATAAATATATAATAATTTCCATAAACATACCATCATCAACAGTACAAGTGCACTTAGAACTTGAGCCATTTTTTGTAATAGATTACACAAGTCACAACAGTCAGGATATTTATGTTCACAACTTCTAAAATATATACATACAATATAGATTATTTATATGTAGAAGTTTATACGTATGTGATATTGAATTATATGAATTACGCAATTATAAAAATTATATGAAGTATGCATTATGTGAATTATATGCTTATGTGCATTATATAAATCATGCGATAATGTAAATTAGGTACATTATGTTAATTATGCGATTATGTGAATAATGTCAATTATGCGATTATGTGAATAATGCAATTATATTAATTGTGCGATTATGTGAATTATGGGAATTACGTCAATAATGCGTTTATATTAATTACGCGATTATGCGATTGAATAAATTATGCGATTATGTGAATTATGCGACTATATTAATTATGCGATTATGTGAATTATGCGATTATGCTAATAACGTCAATTATGCGACTACATAAATTATGCGGATATGTGAATTATGCGATTATGCGATTAAATTTATTAGGCGATTATGCGTTTTTGATATTAATAATAATAATAATAATAAAGACTTTATTTAACGGGAGAACTCATTTGAACAAACAAATCAATCTTCCATGAGGCCCTCATAAATTAATTATCTGATTATGGGAATTATGCGATTATGGGAATTTATAAGTACAGTGGTTCATACACACATATAAACACGAGTGTCAGTCACTCAACTAAGAAAACGTGGGTTCTTGCACTTCTCTCGTCACGACCTCATATGACATGGATTCATTCTGTTTCCCGTTCCTACTTAATTGGGCAAACTGTCTTGCTGGGAATCAGAACTGCGTCGTTTCTTACAATATGTAAACTAAAGCCACCGTCTTTGAATGAAAAATGCATGATTTTTTTTTTGTTGGAAATGACTGAAAACCAGATATATGTATTTACATGCTCCACAATTTTCCGCTTTATTTGGTATGTTGCTAGCATAACTATTTTGTTAACAAAAGTTACAGCGAACTTGCAACTTAAAGCGGGCCAGAATTTTTTTTGTACGGCGCAGTTCATATTGCGGTATCCATCATTTTTTCCCTTTCAAACAAACAAAATGATATACTCGTTTCAGAGTTTATCACAAACATCCAATTATAATTTTGCATCATTTACTTATATTTCATTCAAAGCCGATTTTTAATTTCCAAGAAAATATTGACTTGTACGAAATGATACGACGCATTTCTGATTCCCAGCCCTGGCTATATTTGATTTAAGAATATCGTTGAACGTTTAGCAGACACATATTTCATTTTTTTTTCATTTCTCTTTTAAGAGGTACCGAATAACAGGAATTAAATTCTAATTGAAAGCTAAGTGAAGATAAATAGAGGATATTCAAGTTTCTTCTACAAATAAAGGATTTATTGTCATCCAGTGGTATGAAAATAAATATTTCATGAGTGGCGGTAGCCACGAGTGAAATATGATAATTTTTATGCAACAAGATGAAAATGAATCCAATATTTATAAAAAAAAACTTGAAGGTCCTGTTTATTATACACTTTTTCTCTCTTTTTAAAGCTAAAAATAGGAAGAATTCCGACTCGTCCGAAAACTGAGAACTACATTCAGTGCATTTTCGTTTTTTACTTGACCGTGCGTGAACAGATTTTTAATACTATTGTATTAAGAAAGTATCAAAAGTTACATATTAAGTATAAGTAATACAGCAGTTTATAATTACTATTAAAACGCTGAAGGGATTTAAAAAACCCTGCACGTTAAAAAGATTACGATAGAACCGAAACGCTGTTTTGATACATATAAGCCGCGTCATGACAAAACCAACATAGTGCGTTTGCGACCAGCATGGATCCAGACCAGCCTGCGCATCCGCGCAGTCTGATCAGGATCCATGCTGTTCGCTATCAGTTTCTCTACTTGTTATAGGGTTAGTAAGCGAACAGCATGGATCCTTATCAGACTGCGCGGATGCGCAGGCTGGTCTGGATCCATGCTGGTCGCAAACGCACTATGTTGGTTTTGTCATGACGCGGCTCATATATTTTATCTTTGTAGGAAACCACTAATTAATAAATATAATTCAATAGTAACAAAATAAATCGAACAAATACAACTTATACTACGAGTAGCAATGACTTTTAAATTACGTTAGAAAATAACTGAAAATCAACATTTGAACAATTAGATAAAATAATATTAAACTCGAACCTTAAGTTTTGATGTTCTTATTCCAGAAAAATAATGTTCACAATTATAGCTCAGCTCGTTATTTGTAATATTTATGCCCGGACAGCTGTTGTATAATGACGCTATCAAATATAAGAAAACCCTGATATTTTGTTAAATCGATTAAACAATTATGATGATTATCCTTTACATGCAATCACCATAAAGATTAATGCAGAAGTTATTTGATTTTCTTTACATTTATATAGTTAACATCTATATCTATATCTCGTAATACTGCAGCTTATCAGCCTCGCTTTAACACAAAAACAAATTCATTTCAACTTTTTTTCACATGTTTATCAATAACTTGTTCTACTTATATTTATTATATTAATCATTAGAACACTATTTTCAATTACATCTTTATTTTTTTCATACTCGTGTTCATATTTGTTTTATTTTCATTTTATTTTACTGAACAAAAAAAAATATTGCTGCTAAATTCATTGTGTTTAAATATAAAACGGCCCGTATCATCTAAGAACAATACACATGAATGTTAAAAAGACTGGAAATACAAATTTGAGAACGAATAAAATTGTTTTATTCTTGGTGGCGTCTTCTACCCATGTTCTTTATGAATGAAAATGTATGTGATTTGGGATTAACCATTATCATAACATTAATAAACACTTTTTTTATGAATTTTGGAGGCTTGTGCCTTTAAGCTAGAGTTTATCTTGAGTTTTATCCTGTATACATCATGTATACAAAACTTTTGAAATAACGCATTTTTCTTGCAGCATAGAATCTTTGTTAATGATACTGCTTCAATTCGACAGAGTCGAAGGTTGTGCTCAACCCTGAATAAAGTACTTAATTGTGACAACTGAAATGCTTTCTCGCCAAAAAGTCACATCGGCCAATATTGTAGCAATTCGGTAGTTTACGGAAGATTTTTTCTCATTAGATTATTTACAATCGCTTTGTTTTAAACGGTAACAAATCATTGAATACCGAAGATCGTGGAAAAAAACATTCCGGAAATGACCGATACTTACGATAAAGGCCGATGTTTTGTTATGGCGGGAAAGATGGCGGGAGAGCATATGTTAGAGAAAGACAAAAAGGAAACACAAGTAGGGCTAACCTTACAAACTATGGCACAATTTAATAATAGACAAGCAATCAAATGGTCAATAGAAATAATGAAGCAGTGATGTGCCATTTACATGTTAATCATACAAAACGGAATATTTATGTCCTGCAAAATGTAGAAGTTTACATTTATTTGAACAACATTTTACGTATTTATCAGCGAAGACAAGTACTTCATGTCATGGCGAAGTGACACAGAACAGATGTTTGATGAATAATGATGAATAATTACAATATTCGTGTTTTTAAGTTAATCGATGATACACAATGCGATAGATAATGGATAGCCTGGATTTCTAAGAAATTAAAAATCACATTATTTCCTGAACTGTTTTAAAGTATCATAAAAATAAACAATTTCTGGCGTATTTTTTGAAGATGAGACATGGGTATTTTTCCAATCCAGCAAATACTAATACTAACATTACCCTCAATACTAGTGTGTTCAAAAAATATTTAACATCACAATCCTGAATGATAATACCATGTCCTAGGCAAGTTTTTTTCTCTCATTCCAATGGTACAATCTTTACCAGGGTTGTCCCTGGCCGAGAGGTGAAGGTCTTAGACTTCAAACAAATTGCCCCTTACCGCTTTGGGTTCAAATCCCGACAGGGGCTTTGTGTTCTTTTTTATGTGAGAAAGTTATCCAGCTAGCTTATGAAATGTCGGTGGTTGTACTCAGGTGCATGTTTGTGTCTAAAATAATACATGGAAGGGCACCTGAGGTCTTTCTCAACCAGTGAAGCTAGAAGCCATGTGACCAATACTTTTAGGTGTGACGTAAAACCCAGACAGATAAACAAACAAACATTATTTTATTAACTTAGCTTATGTTCTTTCAATATTGCTCAGCGGACAAAACTACTGCAAAATCATAATGTTGCGATATCTTTTGATGATTATTACGTTTACATTTCATGATATTTATTTATATGATATAAAACGTAAATTTCTAGGAAAAGTCGATAACATGCTCTAAGTTGAACAACATCATAACAATATTTGATATGTCAAAACGACATTGTTTCTACTTCAATGTGTGGTCTTAGTTCTCAGATAGCATTTAGTTTATAATATTGATTATTGTATAATTATACACACAATATACAATGTAAATATTTTAGATAAATTGTTTTATTGTCCAACAACATTGACCTGGCACTCTTGCATTTGACCCCATAGTCGGTAAATTCCGTAAACGTTACAATCTATTGTAAATCTATATGACTGTATATAACCAGTTGTTAAATGATCTAAATTACAAATCCCTCTTAGCACAGTCGTAAAGTGCTTTCACTTTAAGAATATAGACGCACACTCGTAGGTTCGAATCCTGTTTCAGCCACTTTTATTTTTTGTTCTTATTTTAAAATTGCTATTTCTCTCTTAACTCGTGCAAAACGTTTTGAGTTTTGGTTGTGTATGAATTTTAATTTGTTTTATGGACGTGCTGTCCTTTTTATTAATTAAAGATAATGTAATGAAATAAAAAATAAAATTGTATAAAAACAAACTTAAAAGATATCCTAAAAAACAGATGTAGTAAAACGATTTCAAATTAATTCTTGAAAGTTAATTTCAAAATTAAATAAAAAACAAATGTACATATATGTCCTCATAACGTGGTGTTGGTAAGGTATCGAACCAGGGAACTTCAGATCAGTAGTCCTGCATCTATACCAATACACCACAACTCATTAACGTGTGAAGTTAATAAAGATATCGATATATTCGTTTGATACCACTGTTTATCACCTGACCTTTACGGAAATTAATGAAGTGCCAGGTCAACATTGTTGGACAATATCACATAAACCGCGGCGCAGGAGTGTAATAAAGTCATTTAATAATCAAAGCACAGAGGCGCTGAATTTGTTTGGGTCTCAGTATGTCAGAAAGGTGAAGGTTGTGAGATTATAAACCAGTTTGTTTTTGTATAGTGCCACCAATGCTTTCCAACGTTTTAATTGTAGTAAATTGGATATAAGACTAATTGCAAAACTGATATTCAATTCAATGTTTATTTGACTTAAACAATTTGAAAAAAATGAGTTGCCTTAACTCAGATTTGAACTTCAGACCTTTCTCATTCTAAGCGAACGCGCGAACCCCTTGGTCATGGTGAAGTTATATGTTAACGGCCTGAAGAAAACCATATTATTCTAAATTAGGGTTTGTAACCCTTATTATTTCGACACTAACTGTTGTTTAACACAGATGTAAATAATCATGGAGCTTACTATAGGCATGTATATCAATATTAGAAATCTTTGACCATTCGGGAACTATTTTGCTTGAAAATTAATGCGCCTGTCATTTGACCATCTTTACGCAGTGATATCCCCTGAATTTTTTTCGGCGTTAGTGTACATATAAAGGGCAGTAACCGCTTCAAAAAAGCGGACTACTTTCGGCATTTGCAATTAACAGCATCAGAGTCTGAAATTTCGCTACCATTATTTGTTTGGTCTGACGACCCAAACAAATAAAAACGATATTACACTACAGTAGTGTAATACTAGTAACACTTTGACGTGACGTCATTTGCGCTTTATAGAAATTAGCTTTAAAGCGCGCTAATGTTAGCGTCATTGAAAATTTACGCATTTTAACAGTTTACTTTTCTTATTTTATATATGTGATAAAAAAAAATTATATTCGTGTAGAGACTCGCATAATATGATTTTATTCAACTCGTTCAATAAATTAAGTATTAAACTACACTCATTCAATATCCTCTATATGTTGTTACCATGTTTGTAACATGACTCACCAATAAAGAGTATTGTATTGTACAATTTCACAATTTTACAAGCATAATGAAGTGTACATACAAATGATTTCGGCAAAAAATTCTAACCACTATTGTGGGCCCTTCGGATGGTATCTTTAGTGGTCACCTAAAACTTAAATCCGCTGGTATAGTGAGTTCGAATATATACATGAAAACAACACAAATACTGAAATTAACCTAGAAAAAAAAACTCTTTCTGTTTGATATTATTTTTGTCCAATATGATTGCAGTATTTTTAATGAATTGTAACACATTCACTTTGTTAAATCGGCTAGCTTTTAATTAGTCTAGTAAATCGGCCGTTTATAAAAAATTTCAGATACAAAATTGGTTAGTGCATTTTATTTTTAGTAAGCATTTACCAATCTAAGGTTGTCGAATGGCTGCATAAACCAATTAGACAAATTCCTTAAATAATAAGTCCAACACTATAACGTCTACATCATTCCGTCATACTATTATCATAAAATGGGCTGTGCAAGTTATTATTACATTTTGCATTTTATTGGAATACTGAATAATAAAAGTGGGCAAGGGACTACACTGAGGTGTTTTGACAAGACGGGGCTTGAAACAATTTTTCCGACATCAATGATTGATTAATGATGTAGGTGTAGACCTTTTTACTCATATAACAATAAGAACAGCAAAAAAAATACGATTTCTAATTTATTTCTGATTATATTTCTTACCTATCTTTTGCATATCTTTCTATTTTGAGCACCCCAGCTTATCTTTTTTTTAAATTTTTATGTTTGTAGGCTTTTTGACCTCAGCGGAGTTCCTTTACTCCGAGTAGCGTATAGTGTTTAGAGGTTTCAGGTTATGAAAATGGATAGTTTGAAATACCTGGCACATGTATAGGCTTAATATAGTATATTGTTTACATATTGTTACTTTTTGTAACAAAGACAAAGCTATTCTTTCCTCAAGTGATAGGCACGTAATGTGCTCCGAATTGAAGTCCGTGTTTGAGCGTTATAAAGCTCATGACTAACCTTCCTAAATCAGGAAAAAAAAATACTTATTTCTGAGGCACATGTCTTTAATAGATCTTTGATACATAAACGTTCATTTCAGTACATATTTCTTATTTAGAGTAATTTCAATTGGGTGGGGGGATAAAAGGGGAAGTTTTTGTATAGAAAACTTAAAAATAACATATAAACCAGTTTTACTTCGGCAGAGTATCTTTTTAAAAAAATATTTCTTGTTTT